AGAAGAAGAAGAAGAAGAAGAAGAAAATTTGATTTCGCCTCCGCCTTTTTTTCTTCTCGTCTTCTTGTCCTAGGCCACGCCCCCTTATCCTACTCCCAAAAAAGTTTTTTGGGAAGAAAGAAAAGGAGAAGAAGCTCCTTCTTTTTTTTCTTGAAAAATAAATTCCCCAAGGAGAAAAATCTCCTTGTCTTTTGTTTGGAAAAAATAGAGAACCTAGCCTGTGAATTTGGAAATTTTGAATTTTTCTGAAATTCTGAAAATCCGATGATTCTGAAAATCCGAATATTCAGAAATTCAGAAATTTCCAAATTCTGAAATTCTGAAATTCTGAAATTCAGAAATTCAGAAATTCAGAAATTCAGAAATTCAGAAATTCAAAAATTCAGGAATTCGAAAATTCAGAAATTCAGAAATTCAGAAATTCAGAAATTCAGAAATTCAGAAATTCGGAAATTCTGAAAATCCGAAGATTCGGAAAATCAGAAATTTCAAAATTCGGATATTCTGAAATTCTGAAACTCCGATATTCTTAAAATTTCAGAAAGTCAGCAATTAAGAAATTCAGGATTTCTTAAATTCAGAAGTTCAGAAATTCATAAATTCAGAAATTTAGAAATTCAGAAATTCAGAAATGCAGAAATTTTTAAATTCTCAGATTGTGAGATTCTGAGATTCTGAGATTCTGAGGTTCTGAGATTTTGAGATTCTGAGATTCTGAGATTCTGAGATTCTGAAACTCTGAGATTCTGAAACTCTGAGATTCTGAGATTCTGAGATTCTGAGATTCTGAGATTCGAAATTCTGATTTTTTTCAATTTTCTTTTTGGAGGGAGAAATGAACAATATCCTTACCATATTTTCCCTTTTTTTTCTTATTTTTTCCTTCTAGAAAAATCTAAAACTTTGAAAAAAAAAGTCTGAAAATTTTTTCGAAGTTTTCGAAGTTCAGATTTTTTCGAAATTTTGAATATTTTTTTTTTCAATTTTTCAAATCTTCAAAATGTAGAAGTTGGGCACAGAACAGCTTATAACTCTTCAGACATTTCCAACTCTTGACTTTTGGTTGTGAAATTTTTTTTGTGAATTTCTGAAAAAAAAATTTCAGATGACATCATCTGAAAATTCTTGTTGGGTTCAAAAAAATCTCTATGTTTCCCCTTCTAAACTGAAATTTTTGAAACAAGAGAGGAGGGCGTGTGAATCTCCCCATTTTTTTTGAAATCCGAGATATTTTTTTGCCCATTTTTTCCAGAAAAAAGAGCACAAAAAGAGCAAGAGACAGAGAAAAATTCTCACATACATTCTTCGAAAAAAAGTCTTTTTTTTAGGAAAAAAGAAGAGAATTCAGAAGACGTTAGAGAAGAAAAAGAAGAGAATAGGATACTAATTGAATACGTGTTTTTGGAAAAAGAAAGGAAACGCAATGGGATTCATTTTTACTCCCGACGAGAATCATCATTTTTCTAGGCCTCTTCTTTTTTGAAAAATGAGGAAAATCGATTATTCTGGAATTTTTTCCCATTTTTGAATCCTCCAGTTTTAGAATTTCAGAAATCCAGAATTTCAGAAATTTTAGAATTCTAGTATCTCAGAGTTTCAGAATTTCAGAATTCCAGAATCCCAGAATCCCAGAATTTCAGAAAATGAGATCGATTTGAGTGCTCAAAACCGTTTAAAAAGATGTTTGAACCGATTTTTTGAATTTTATGCCAAAAATCGATGAAAAAAATTCAGAAAATGTATATTATACAATTTTGGAATTTTTGAAATTTTGAGATTTTTGAACTTATGAACTTCTGAATTTCAAAATTTCAGAATTCTGGAATTTCTAAATTTCTGAATTTTTGAATTTCTAAATTTCTGAACTTCTGAATTTCAAAATTTCAGAATTCTGGAATTTCTAAATTTCTGAATTTTTGAATTTCTAAATTTCAGAATTCTGGAATTTCTAAATTTCTGAATTTTTGAATTTCTGAATTTTTTGAATTTCTGAATTTCTGAATTTCTAAATTTCTAAATTTCTAAATTTCTGAATTTCTGAATTTCTGAATTTCTGAATTTCCGAATTTCTGAATTTCTGAAATTCTGAATTTCCGTATTTCTGAATTTCTGAATTTCTGAATTTCCGAATTTCTGAATTCCTGAATTTCTGAATTTCTGAATTTCTGAATTTCTGAATTTCTGAATTTCTGAATTTCTGAATTTCTGAAATTCTGAATTTCCGTATTTCTGAATTTCTGAATTTCTAAATTTCTGAATCTTAAAATTCCAGAATTCCAGAAATTTCGATATTTTCTGATTTCATGATTTCGAGACATTTTTCGGAATTCAGAATTTTAGAATTTTAAGAATTTGAAAAGAATTTTCCAGCGTTTCCAAGTTTCCATTTGTAATGTTTCCAAATTTTCCCCCAATTTTTTGAATTTCAAACAATTTCCAAATTTCAGAAAGTTTCAGGATTCTGAAAATTGGAAAATTTGAAATTTCTGGATAATTTTCAGATTTGTCTTTTCTGAATTTTCCATTTTTTCATTTTCAATTTCCATTTTCCCCAATTTTTTCCCAAATTTTGAAATTAAAAAACTCCGAATATCTCGGCTTTCAGGAGCTCTAGAAAGCTGATTTTTAGACCAAACTTTGTAATTTCGTGTTTAGAAAAATAACAAGAAACTTTAAAAACAAATTTCTCATAAAAAAGTATTTTTTTTCAATATGCGTAAAAATGCTAATTTTACCCTGAAAATTGGTTCAACAATCAAGTTCCTAGCTCATCTAGAAGCCGAGATAGAGTCATTTGAAGTTTTTGAGGTGAGAGACGCAGACAACGAGAGCACTCTAACTGTCTGCGTCTCTCCTAAAACTTCAAATGCCTATATCGCGGCTCTCAGACGTCTTAGAAAGCTGATTCTTCGGTCAAAATTGACGATTTGCATTGTATTCTTCCTTCATTTCTGTCTGCGTCTCTCAAAATTTTCAAAGGCTGTATCTCGGCTCCCAGGAGTCCTAGAGCTCTGCTTTTTTGAACAAAATTAAAGATTTTCATTGTATTTTTCCGTCATTTTCATCTCTTACCCATTTTACGTCACAAAACTACCATCTGTTTCCTTTCGAAAACTTGTCAAACATGTGTCACGAGCCACATTAATTTCCAAGCTCTAAACCTCCTCCCAAAATTTACTTAACATTTTTTGCTTGTTTTACCTTATTATTTCACACGGGGAAGAACAAGAGAGAGGGAAATTCCAAAAGTAAATAAAGAAATTTGAAAAAGAGGAGCAATTTTTTGAAATGAATGGGTTTTTGAGAATTTTCCGAATTTCTGAATTCCTGAATTTCTGAATTCCTGAATTTCTGAATTTCTGAATTTCTGAATTTCTGAATTTCTGAATTTCTGAATTTCTGAATTTCTGAATTTCTGAATTTCTGAATTTCTGAATTTCTGAATTTCTGAATTTCTGAATTTCTGAATTTCTGAATTTCTGAATTTCTGAATTTCTGAATTTCTGAATTTCTGAATTTCTGAATTTCTGAATTTCTGAATTTTTGAATTTCTGAATTTCTGAATTTCTGAATTTCTGAATTTCTGAATTTCTGAATTTCTGAATTTCTGAATTTCTGAATTTCTGAATTTCTGAATTTCTGAATTTCTGAATTTTTGAATTTCTGAATTTCTGAATTTCTGAATTTCTGAATTTCTGAATTTCTGAATTTCACAAAATTATAGGATACAATTATCAATGTTTGAGAGCTCAAAAGTTTTCCGCTCTGGTTTCTCTGCGTATCTCACTCTCTCTCTCTCTCTCTCTCTCTCACTTCAAGAAATTCCAAGAAGACGTTGACATCTTCTTCTTCTTTTTCCCATTTTTTGAAATTCGGCAAAAAAAAAGCTCAAAAAAAGTTCCGAATTTTTCCCCGGCGTGGGGCGTCCTCCGAATTATTCAAAAAACAAAAAACGAGAGAGTATAGGAAAGTGTGAGACGCAAAGAAATCTCTAGACATGTGAGCCTTGTTTGAGCGTGTGTGGTTTTTGGGATTTTAGAGATTTTTTGAGGGAAGAAAATTTTTCTGACTGAAAAAAAAGATGTTTTTTGAGAGGATTTTAAGCTTGGGATTTTGGGTTTTTTCATCATTTTTTTTGCAGATTTAATTCTTGAATTTTAGGTTTTTCCCTTGTTTTTTCCTATTGTTTTGTGTGAAAAATTACTTCCAAAATCGATTTTTTTTGAAAACGTTAAAATTTACTTTCCCCCAAATAATTGGAAATTTTAAATTGAAGAAATCAGTTTGACTTTCTATTAGCAACCACTACTAACCCTACATACCACGGTAAAAAGGTTTTGGAATTTGAAAAAAAGAATTTGTTGGAAATTTTTCAATTTCTGAAAAATGCAGATTTCAATAAATTTTTTGGTCAAAAAATCAAGTTTCTAGCTCATCTAGAAGCCGAGATATAGCTATTTGAAGTCTTGCAGAGACGCGGACAGTTAGAGTGTCTCGCTGTCTGCGCCCTCCTCTTTACCCACACTCTCTCGCCTCCAAAACTTCAAGAAGCTGTTTCTCGGCTCCTAGGAGCCCTAGAAAGCTGGGTTCTGAACTCAATTGTGTGATTTTTTCTCCTATTCTTAAAATTTTAAAATTAAATAAAAATTATTTTCAACATTTTTTTCCAAATTTTTTTAAACAGTTGTGAAAAATACCCTGATATTTACCCTAAAATTATGTTTAAAAAGCAGGTTTCTAGCTTATCTACAAGCCGAGATTTAGTCAATCAAAGTTTTGAAGAGACGCAGACAGTTAGAGTGTCTCGCTGTCTGCGCCCTCCTCTTTCCCCACACTCTCTCGCCTCCAAATCTTCAGGGGGGGGGGGGGCTTTAACTCAGCTCTCAGGCGTCCTAGAAAGCTGGTTTTTGAACCAAACTTTGTAATTTTTTCACTTTTTCTCTCTGTTAATTTTTCCGATTTTCCCAAAATTCAAGTTTTCAGGAACTGCCAAAAAAGAAATGACTGCATCAACCCCAAACAACGGTGTCAAATTGATCATTTTCGATAAGGATGGAACTCTTTTGGACTTTAACAAAATGTGGATGCCCTACGCAAAAACTACAGTGAGACTTTTGGAGGCAGCCACCAATTTACGCGTCGGTCCAGCCATCTACAAAACATTGGGCGTTGATCCAGTCGCTGGAAAGGTAACATTTTGGAAATTTTTTGAAATTTGGGATTTTTAGACTTCAAAGATCTAGACCACCTGACCAGAAAACACCAATTTTTCTCTCATCCCTCTTCTCTCTCGCCCTCTAGGGAAATCCCCAAAAAAAAGGAGCCAAAAACCTGCGCTCATCAATCTGGTCCCTTTGGCATCATGCCAAAAAGTGATGTCATAAAATTTCGAAAGGTTTCAGGTTTCAATGGGAGCACTTGCCGAGAAGACACTCACTGGCATTCGTGAGGATATCTCGTTGACTCTTCAGGTATGGAAATTTTGAAATTTTTGAAAATTTGGAATTTCGACAAATCAACAACAGAAATTAGATTTAAAAAACCTCGATTTTGAGCCAAGTTATGACCATTTGAAGCTGGTGGCCTAGAATACCAAAAATTAGGAAAGCTGGGCTATTTTTTACAAACTACAAGGTATACCAAAAACAGCCTAGCCTAGACAAGCCTATTCCAATTTTGAGATTTCGAAAATATCAATTTTGGGCCAAGATATGATTTTTTGAAGTTGAGAGGCATAGAAAATCACATTTGGTGGCCTAGAAGGCCACTAAACTAAATCACATTTTATTTCAATAGATTTGACTTGTCAAGACAAATCTATTCCAGTTTTTAGATTTTAAAAATATCAACTTTGAAGCGAGTTACAAGCCTTTAAACATGATGGCCTAGTGTTTTCAGTTTCTAGGCCACCGGTTACAAATGCTTGTAACTCGGCTCTAAAAGAAAATTTTCGACCTCTGAAAATTGTAAAATGTACGGGACAATCAACGAAACAAAATCTGCAAAATTAGACAATAAGTGGTATATTTCTAACTTCAAAAAATCTCGAGCTTAAACCGAGTTATGACCATTTGAAGTTGGGAGGCATAGAAAATCGAATTTGGTGGGCTAGGAATTTAGAAAACAAATCCATGATGCATATCAATAGATTTGACTTGTTCGGACAAAACAAAAGCTGTTTTCAAAATTCAAAAATACCAACTTTGAAGCGAGTTACAAGGCTTTAAACATGATGGCCTAGAATTTCAAATTTCTAGGCCATCGGTTACAAATGCTCATAACTCGGCTCTATGATAACATTTTTGAATTCTGAAATTTGCAAAATGTGCGGGAGAACCAACGCAACCAAATTTTTTAACTTTGGCAATTTGTGGCCTGGGAAGTTCTAGGCCACCGTGCAAAATCTAGGCCACCACCTTAAAATAGTCATAACTTGGCTCAAAATCGAGCGTTTTGAATTTTAAAAACAGTTTCGGATAGCTGAAAATTTGAGAATTCAAAAAATGAAAAACAATTATAGACTTTCGGAATCACCCAAGTCGAAGCCGACGCCATCACCCATGGATGTGTTCAAGAAGCGTCGCCAGGCGAGATGTGTCCAGTCTGTGATATGCCCGCACTTTTCACCACTCTCAAGGCCATGGGAATCAAAATTGCCGTGTGCACCGCTGACTCCAGGTACATTAATTCCAGAAAAATTTAAAAAAAATTGAATTTCAAAAGTTTTCTAGAGCCGCCACCATCGACCAAATGAACAAAATGGGTGTTATCCCGTTTTTGGATGACATCATTTGTGGAAATGATGTTGGCATCGTGCCAAAACCATCGCCACATTGTGCAATTCAAATTTGCAAACGTCTTGGCGTTGAGCTGAAGGTAAGTGCGCTCTATTGAGTAATTGCTAAAAAATGATCAAAATCGGTCTCTTCGGGTCATTTTTTCAAGGAAATTTCATTAGAGCGCAATTGCATTTCTTTCAGGAGACTCTTATGGTCGGCGACACAATTGCCGATTTGAAAATGGGAAAAGTGGCTGGACTTCGAGCCAGTGTCGCTGTGATGACCGGTGTAGGCACCCGCGAAACTCTCGCACAGTATTCGGATTATTTCGTAAGTGCGCTCTGGTGGACTGGGAGGCGGGAAATTTGAAATTGTATAAGAAATCGATTTGCGAGGATTTGGCGATGAAAATGAGATCGATTTGTGTGCTCGAAACCGTTTAAAAAGATGTTTGAAGCGATTTTCCGAATTTTATGCCAAAAATCGATGAAAAAACTCAGAAAATGTATTTTATACAATTTTGGAATTTTTGAAATTTTGAGATTTTTGAATTTCTGATATTCAGCATCTTCGGAATTTTAGATTTTCAGATTTTCAGAATTTCTGAATTTCAGAATTTCAGAATTTCTGAATTTCTGAATTTCTGAGTTTCTGATATTCTTAGTTTCTGAATTTCTGAAGTTCTGAATTTCTGAATTTCTGAATTTCTGAATTTCTGCATTTCTGAATTTCTGAATTTCAGAATTTCAGAATTTCTGAATTTCTGAATTTCTGAATTTCTGAATTTCTGAATTTCTGAATTTCTGAATTTCTGAATTTTTGAGTTTCTGAATTTTCGAATTTCTGAATTTCCGAATTTCTGAATTTCTGACTCATCCAAAAAATTGAGTGGGCTGAAAAACTACATTTCGAAACTTCTGAATTTCTGAATTTCTAAAATTTTCAGAAGAATGGTAAAAATTACAGAATAAATTTTAGGATTTTTTGAAAAAAAATTGTTTCAAGTATTTTTTGAAATTTTAATTTTTTCAGCTCGAGGACATTAGCGAATTGCCCCATTTGATTACAAAAACGATGAACGAAGACACGAAACGAGGATAAGCTGAAATTCTGGAACTCTTCTAAAATAATTTTTGGCCAAAAAATAATAAATTTACATACTTTTTATTTTTCTCTGTCTTAAAATTGTAAATAGTTTTTTTTCTCTAACACTCTCTCACTCTCTCGTCCACCGTTTGATCTTTTGATCTCTGTCCCAATCGATTTTTTAGTCGGATCTCGTTCTCATCAAAAATTTTATTTTTGAAAAAAAAAATTAATAATTGAAAAAAGCAATAAATTTTTGAAAAAACTGTAGATAATTGAAAAATGCTCTCTCTGTTCCTTTGAAACCTGTAGATTTTTTCTCGATTTTTTTTTTCTGTCAAAATTCAATTTTTTTGGAATTTTTGAATTTGATTTTTAATGATGGAAGAAATGAAAGAAAATAAATATATTATATTTTTTCTTTGACATTCTTCGGAATTTCAGAACTTTGGTTTTATGAAATTTCTGAATTTCTGAATTTCTGAATTTCTGAATTTCTGAATTTCTGAATTTCTGAATTTCTGAATTTCTGAATTTCTGAATTTCTGAATTTCTGAATTTCTGAATTTCTGAATTTCTGAATTTCTGAATTTCTGAATTTCTGAATTTCTGAATTTCTGAATTTCTGAATTTCTGAATTTCTGAATTTCTGAATTTCTGAATTTCTGAATTTCTGAATTTCTGAATTTCTGAATTTCTGAATTTCTGAATTTCTGAATTTCTGAATTTCTGAATTTCTGAATTTCTGAATTTTGACTAATCCAAAAAAGTGAGTGGGCTGAAAAACTACAACCTACAAAAATTGTTGTTGACATCTGAGAAAATTGTATAAACGCGTCGAAACGATTCTTGAGTACCCAAACCGTCCGTTCGCTCGTCTCGCATCGGATAGTCTCAGATTACAAGATGTATATCACTTTGTTTGGTTCTTTTTGCTGAATGCGCTGCATTTTTCAAAACTCAAAAATGTCAATTTTGAAGCGAGTTACAAGTCTTTGAAAATTGTGTCCTAGGATTTGCAAATTCTAGGCCATTGGTTACAAATGATCATAACTCACTTCAAAATCAATATTTCTAAGTTCTGAGAATTGCTTTAGACTCAGAAAAAAAGATAAAACAAAGTTATAATAAATGTGACATAACTTTTTCGGTTTCCGCTTGCCAAACTTGGTGGCCTAGAAAACCAACTATTTGAAAAGTTAGGCCACATTTATTATCACTTCATTTCATTTGTGTCGCTGAGTCTAAATCACTTTTTAAAACTCGAAAAGCTCGATTTTGAAGCGAGTTATGCCCGTTTGTGACCAGTGGCCTAGAAATTTGGAATTCTAGGCCACCAACTTCAAAGGCTTGTAACTCGCTTCAAAATCAATATTTTCGAGTTCTGAAAACGGATTTAGACCCGGCGTAAAAAATGAAACAGAATGATAAAAAGCACGGCCTAACTATTCAATCATTTGGTTTTCTAGGCCACCAAACTCAATCGGTCGTAACTCGCTTCAAAATCAGCATCTTTGAGTTCTGAAAACAGATTTTCTTTGATTAAAGCAAAATTAATTTATTGAAATACAACAAAAGAAAGAAAGAATTGCAAATTTTTTGGGGGGTGGGGGTGTAAACCGGTAATAATCATGGGGGGATTTTCATGGATAAATCACTTGTTATAGAATTTTTTGTTAATGTACTGAATTGCCTTCTTCACATCCAGCACGACCAATTTGTTGATGGTGTAGATGGGTTCGGAGAGCGATTCGGATTTTAGAAGGTCCTGAAAATCGCGTTTTGTAGTTTGTAGTCTTTGTAGTCTTTGTATTGTCTTACCTGGAACTGCAACGTGGCATCACCAATTTGCTGTTTTCCCTCTGTCAAAATCATTGAAAAAACGCCCGATTCTTCGGAGGAAGAAATCTCAACAGTCAGTTTTGAGATTCGTTTTGGCGTTTGGTATCCCAAAATCTCCTTGATAACTCCTTTTTTGAACAATTTCTCAGCCGAACTCTTATAAGTTTTAATTTGGTCCAATGAAGCGCGCTCCTTCTGAATTTTCCCGGCTTCTTTGGTATTCGGACGGAACGAGAGACGACGAGAAGTTCGGGAGAGATTCTGGAATATTTTAAACAATTTTTTAGGTCACATTTCTTATCATTTTGTTTCATTTGTTTTCTCCAAGTCTGAATCAATTTTCAGAACTTAAAACGGCTGATTTTGAAGCGAGTTACAAGCCTTTAAAGATGGTGGCCTAGGGTTTACAGATTCTAGGCCACTGGTTACAAACGGCCGTAACTTGCTTCAAAAGTGGGCTTTTCTAGTTTTGAGAAGTGTTTTAGACTCACTAACACGATTCCTACGAAATTGTCAGAATGTTGCCTAACTTTTCAAATAGTTGGTTTTCTAAGCCACCAAGTTTGGCAAGCGGAAACTCAAAAAGTTAGGTCACATTTATTATAACTTTGTTTTATTTGTTTTTCTGAGTCTAAAGCAGTTTTCAAAACTTGAATATATTGATTTAGAAGCGAGTTATGATCATTTGTAACCAATAGCCTAGAATTTGAAAATCCTTGAATTTGAAAATCCTAGGCCATAATTTTCAAAGACTTGTAACTCGCTTCAAATCCAACATTTTTGAGTTTTGAGAAATGCAGCACATTCAGCAAAAAGAACCAAACAAAGTGATATAAATTTTGGCTTAGTTTTCCAATGTTTGGTTTTCTAGGCCACCAAGTTTGGCAAGAGGAAAACTGACAATTTGGAAAAGTTAGGCCACATTTATCATCAGGTTGTTGTGTTTGTTTTGCCAAGTCCAAATTGATTTTCAAAATTCAAAAATGTCGATTTTGAAGCGAGTTACAAGCTTTTGAAGACGGTGGCCTAGAATTTCGCATTTCTAGGCCACCAGTTACAAACAACTGTAACTCGCTTCAAAATCAACATTTTCGAGTTTTGAAAGTTAATTCAGAGTCAGCGACACAAATGAAACAAAATGGTGAAAAAATGTGGCCTAGGTTTTCAGGTATTCGGTTTTCTAGGCCACCATCTTCAAAGACTTGTAACTTGCTTAAAAATTGTGTTTTCTGAGTTCTAAAAATTGATTTAGACTCTCTGAAACAATTTCTACAAAATGAGATATACTCACCTGCAAACACGTCTCCAAATATTCCTCATATCTTGCCAACTTCTCATTCAACTCCTCTCTCTGCTCCATCAACTTTCGCCGCGTAGCCGCAATGCTCTTTTTCTGCTCCGCCCGTTCGCGTTGGCGTCTCTCATGAAGGCGAATGTCATTTGCGATATCTGTCACGATCGATTGATATTTGTCTGACTTGCTGGTCCGTCCATCATCTTCCAGTTGAGCCAAGTCTTTTTTGAGATTCGTTTGAATGGATTGCATGGCGGGGGTCACCTGAAATAATGGGTTTAGATAGAAATTCCAAAAATGAAAGCTTGGTTGAAATTTTACGAAAAAGTTGTCAATTACAAAAATGAAGCTTTATTTTTGTTTAGTACTCTTTGAAATTTTCAAACAAATCGAAAAATTCTGGCTCCTTTTGTAGGGCTCTCAAATTGAGCATTGTATTTGCTCTAATAAAATGATCATCCAAATTTGAGCCCCTATATCTCATTTCCTGTAAAAGATGTCAAAAAGATTTTAACTAATAAAATATTTATCATAATATCACCAATATTTTATCAGTTAACACATTTTTGATATCTTTCATAGGAAGCGAGATAATTGCTTCGAACGCTTTTATAGGTTGGGAGCGAATAGACATGCCTATTCACCAAGGCCTATCTCTCCAGGAATCCATTTTACAAAAAAGTTGATATTTACAAAAATAAAGCTCTAATATAGTTTAACATTTTATGAAATTTCCAGACAAATCGGAGACGGATTTGCCGGAAAAAACAGTGAAAAAAATGCTCATTTTTGAGCCCAGACACAACCATTTTTGGGTTGGTGGCCTAGAAAACCAAATTTTGAGAAAACTAGGTCACGTTAAATTTCAATTTATTTCAATGTCTCTCCTCAGTCTATCGCAGGTTTTAAAACTTAAAAATTCCAGTTTTGAAGCGAGTTATGACCATTTGTAACCTGTGGCCTAGAATTTGCAAATCCTAGGCCACCATCTTCAAAAGCGACTAACTCTCTTCAAAATTGAAAGTTTCAAATTTTTAAAAATGCATTACATGCAGCAAAACGAAGCAAACAATTTGATACTATTTTTGGCTTGGTGTTTCAATTTTGCGGTTTTCTAGGCCACCAAATTTGGCAAGTGGTCGTCTATAACGGGACCTTGTTCGTTTTATTAATTTATTTTCCATGTTTTCCAGAGTTCATCACACTTTTCAGAATTTGAAAATTCTGAATTTGAAGCGAGTTATGACCGTTTGTAACCGGTGGCCTAGAATCTGCAAATCCTAGGCCACCATCTTCAAAGGCTCGTCGAAAGTGATATTTTCGAGTTTTGAAAAATGGATTAAATCCAACAAAAAAGGTTTGAGAAAGTATTGTGAATGCTCCAATTCAACCTCACCTCCTTCTGCTCGACCAACTGCTCCACATCAGTTCCTGGAACTCCTTCCAACAACAACTCCACCACTTGTTTCTTTGCTCTTGTGAACAAATGAGCCTGTGTTCCATCTGGCAACATCTCATTCGGCGATGGATGCAATTGAAGCATCACGACGCCATCTGAAGTTGCCACGTCATCAATCGATTCGATCAGTTGCACGATTTGATCTTCGTTTCCTTCCGAAATGTCGTTTTTGTGTTTTCGGAGACATTCGATAACAGTTTGTAGGTGTTTATCGATAAGTGAGAGTGTTGGCTTGTGGAATGGATCGAATTGGGTGAATTCGTTCATTGAGTAGATTTCATCCAGCACCACATTGCGGACGTTCTTGTTGATGTACTCGCTGGAAATTGTAACTTTTAAAAACTTGAAAAGCTCAATATTGAAATGAGTTACAAGTTTGGTGGCCTAGAAAACCAAATTCTCAAAAAGTTAGGCCGCTTTTGCAAATTGTTATGTTCACGATTTTTTTAACGATTTTAAAACTCTTTTTAAAACTTGAAAAATTCAATTTTGAAGCGAGTTACGGTCATTTGTGGCCAGTGGCCTAGGAATCCAAAATTCTAGGCCAGGGAACTGATCGTAACTGGCTCGTAACTGGCTTCAGAATAGACATTTTTGAGTTCTGAAAATTGAATTAGTCTCAGGAAAACAAGTGCAACAAAATTATAATACTTGTGGCCTAACTTTTCAGGTATTTGGTTTTCTAGGCCACCAAATTTGGCAAAGGGCAGTCTCAAACATCAAAACTTTGTTATTCATGTTACATGAAATAATTTGCCATATTTTACTGAGCCTAAAACACTTTTCAGAAAACGAAAAACTCAATGTTAAAGCGAGTTACAGCGGTTTGTAACTGGTGGCCTAGAAATCCGAAATTCTAGGCCACCGAACTCAATCAGTCATAACTCGCTTCAAAATCAACATTTTTGAGTTCTGAAAATTGATTCAAACACAGCAAAACAAGTGAAACAAAATGCATATTAGATATGGCCTAATTTTTCCAGTATTTGTTTTTCTAGGCCACCGAACCGACAACTCACATGAACTTCCTGTGAATAACATGAACATTGGCGTTTAGACGCGACAAAAACCACAGCTTATTGGCATATCCTTTGTTGGCTACTGCGTTTTCTGTGAACTGTATTATGGCCTCCAGGCGATGAGTCGCATCATCGGTAATTTGTATTCCGAGGGCACGGAATAGGCTTCGCGGAGATGTGAGGTGATGGCTGAGGAATACCTGGAAAGAGGTTGTAGTTTGTAGTTTATGCTTGCCTATTTAGGACAGACCAAGGTCATTCAGGAACCTTCAGGACCATTCAGGATTATCATAGACCATTCAGAATTATTTTAGAACTATCAAGGACTATCTGAAATTGCCTAGGATTGTCTAGAAGCATCCAGGATCCTCCAGAACTATTCAAAACCATCCAAGGTCATCTAGAATTATCCAGGGCTATTCAGGAGCATCAAGGATTGTTCTGAACTATTGACAGCTATCCGGAACCATTCAGGATCATCCAGGATCATCCAGAAAAATCCAGAACCATCTAGAACCAACAAGGACGAGCCAGGGCCTTCTAGGACTATTCAAAACGATCCAGTATGATTCAAAAAAAACCCAAGGGCATCTAGGATCATTCAGAACCATTTCAAACCACTAAGGACCAGCGAGGACAAACCAGAATTATGCAGGATCATTCAGAGCTAATTGGAGTGATCCAGGACGATCTAAGACCATCTGGGGCCATCCAGGATCATCCAGAACCATTCAGAATTGTCTAGAATCATTCAGGATCATCTAGAATTGTCAAGGACAATCCCAAAATTTTTTGTATCGTTCAGAATAATGGAGGATCATCCAGGACTATCCATAACTATTTAGAACGATTCAGGACTATTCAGGACCATCCAGGATCGATTAGAATCATTTAAGTTTTTGCAGGACTATCAAGGGTCATCTAGAACCATCGATAAAGGATTCAGGACTATCCAGGACCAGCTAGGACTATTCAGAATGATTCAGATTCATCTGAACTTCCCCATTCCCTCCCACAAACCTTAAACGCAAACATGGCAACTGTCTGATCAATCTGCATCGCTGTAGCAGCTGGAAATTGGTGGCGAAGTGCAGTTTCCAGATAAGAAGTCATATAAACACAGCTCTTCGGCAATTTGTAGTTCTCAAATACGGCATCCATGAACCTCTCGCTCCATTTGGCCAAGAACGAAATCGAGCTACTCAGAATATCGGATACTGTAGTGTCTTGCAATGCCTTCTCAACTGATTCGACTGATCTGCCGTAGAGGTTCTGATAAAGGTCCACCGGATCCAAATGGAACGTTTTAACTCTGGATTCCTCGTCGACATAATTGGTGAGCTCGTCGATTATCGATTGGCATGGATCTGATAGAATATTGTCGAAAGTAGATAGTTTGACAGTGTCCGCAGTGGCTTGCATGAAGTAGTTCGAATGGAAATCTTCAATTTGACGGAGTTGAGCAACGTTGCGGCCGAGAAGTTCACACAGGAGTCGGACCAGGAGGAATTGTTCTCGATTGTCACTAAGGAAGCCGAAGATTGGCGAGACGACATCCGTCATCATTTCGGTACGGTTCTCGCGGAGGCCTGAAATCATTTTTTTTACAAAAAAAAATCGGAAAAATTTGCCAGTTTTGAGCCAAGTTACGACCATTTTAGGGTTTGTGGCCTAGAAAATCAAATTTTGGAGAAAGCTAGGCCACGCTGAGAAAACAAAATAAATATCAATCGATTCCACTTTTCTCCTCAAGCTATTGCATTTTTTAAAACTCCAAAATCTCAATTTTGAAGCGAGTTATGACTATTTGTAACCAGTGGCCTAGGAATTACAAATCCTAGGCCACCATGTTCAAAGGCTTGCAACTCGCTTCAAAATGGATATTTTTGAGTTTTGAAAAATGGATTACATTCAGCAAAAAGTAACAAACAAAGTGATATAATCAGTGACCTAGTTTTTCAATTTTCGGTTTTCTAGGCCACCAAGTTTGGATAGTGGCCTAGAAAAAATAGCGGCCTAGAAAACCGTAACTGCGCTATGTTCACTTTATCAAATTATTTCCCATGTTTTTCTGAGTTCATCACAATTTTAAAAACTCGAAAATCTCAATTTTGAAGCAAGTTATGACCATTTCTAACCCGTGGCCTAGAATTTGCAAATCCTAGGCCACCATGTTCAAAGGCTTGTAACTCGCTTCAAAATCAACATTTTTCGATTTTGAAAAATGTGATATATTCAACAAAAAATAGCAAACAAAACTATATAAATCGTGGCCTAGTTTTCAAAAATTTGGTTTTCTAGGCCGCCAACTTCAAATTGGCGTAACTTGGTTCAAAATGCATATTTTTCAGTTTTGAAAAAAGCGCAATATTCAACGAAATGTGACAAACAAACGAATAATAACTAACCCTCAATCAAGTTTGCCAAGTAATTCGGCTTGGTTTGCAGGTAGTACAACAGCTGTTCCAGAGATTCTACCGACGATTTTTCTCTTTGTTTTTTGTTCGAAACTTCAGTTTTTGCGGCGAAATCTTCAGCGGAAGCCGCGGTCTTGTCACGATGAGCAATCACGTCCTGGAAGATGCTCCATGAGTTTTCTTTGGCAAAAAAGACTGATTTTAAACCCGAAAATCAAACTTTTAGACTTCAAAAGTTCAAAATTTACCTGCAAATTGAGCCGATTCTTTATGAGCAATCCAATATTTTCGTCCATTTCTTCCAAATTTTTATCCAATTGCCTATTGGATGCCATCAGTCGAGAAACCTCGGTTTTCGATTCAGCAACTTCTAGGTCATCGGTGAAATCCACTTCGCCACGTGGCAATTGATTCACGAACTTCCGGACCAATGAAAGCGATGGGGTTGTTGTGGTTTCTGAGAAATTCGATTCGAGAATTCCAGACAGTTTTTAGAATTGAAAAATATGTATTTTGAACTGAGATACAACAGCTTGAATATGGTGGCCTAGAAAACCAAATTTTGAGAAAACTAGGCCACGGTGAGCAAACTAGGTTAACATCAATCGACTTCATTTTCTTTCCTGAGTATATTACATTTTTCGAAACTTCAAAACCTCAATTTTAAAGCAAGTTATGACCATTAGTGACCAGTGGCCTAGAACTTGCAAATCCTAGGCCACCATGTTCAAAGGCTTGTAACTCGCTTCAAAAGTGAAATTTTTGGGTTTTGAAAAATGTGTTATACTCAGCTGAAAGTGACAAACAAATAAATATAAAGCTTGGCCTAGTTTTTCAAGTTTCTGGTTTCCTAGGCCATCAATTTCGGCAACTGGTGGCCTAGAAAACCGAAACTGTGAAAAAGCTTATTTCAATAAAATATTTCTCATGTTTTCCTAAGTTCCTACACACACTTCAAAATTCCAAAGCCCCATTTTTGAAGCGAGTTATGACCATATGTCACCGGTGGCCTAGAATTTACAAATCCTAGGCCACTATGTTCAAAGGCTTGTAACTCGCTTCAAACTTAACATTTTCGAGTTTTAAAAAGTGCAATACATTCAGTAAAACATAACAAACAAGATGATATAAAATTTGACCTAGTTTCACAAAACTTGGTTTCCTAGGCCATCAAGTTTTGCAAGCAATGGTCTAACAAGGAACAAAAAAAACCAAAACTAGGTCACGCTTTTTTTGCCAATTTATTTCCTATTTTTTCTTAAGTTAAACATATTTTTTAGAATTCGAAAATTCCAATTTTGAAGTGAGTTATAACTATTTGTAACCCGTGGCCTAGAATCTGAAAATCCTAGGCCACAAGCTTAAAATGGTCGTAACTTGGTTCAAAACTCATATTTTTCAGTTCTAGAAAAAACTCACTCAAAAGTTCCAAATCCTTCTTATTCCTATAGACCTTGTATCTTGACTGTATCTTCGCCGCCGCCTCATCTTGCTCCTTCTTAAGCTCCGCCTCCTTAGCCGCCCGTTTTTGTTCCAGAAACTTCCGAAGTGCATTTTGCCCTTTCACTACTTCCGACTCATTTTTCTTAAAATACTCATCAAAGTCCTTATTTTCTTTAATTAGGTGGAAATGGATAATTGCCCAATTAAGATAATTAGGGTTGATAGGCGATTGGGCAACTTTTGATCTTTCTGTAGGCGTGGTAGTTGATACGTAGACTGTGCCAAGTGAGAAATCTTGCTCCATCCAGCCATCTTTAGAATTTTCTGAAGTCTCTAAAACTTCCAGAAGCTTCTTCGAGTACCATTGAATCAATTCCTTTCTATATCCATCTGCTTCCAGGTCCTTCAGCCCTCTCAACGCCTTCTGAATTTTCTCTTCTGATCCTTTGGCTTTATTGATTTTTAAGACTTGCTCGGCGAGCTTGAAAGCCTTCTCCACTTCCAGATTAACATCTTCCAGTTCGTTTTTCAGTTCTTCCAGATTTCCAGCCTTCTTTTTTCCTAGCCTCTTACAGTAGAATTCTAGATTTTCTTCCACGTAGAACTCCAAAGAGACTCTCTTCAGAATCACCTCGACGCCTTCTGAATCGCCACGTGTCAGTGCTCCATTCAGTTCTAGAATCATTCGACGTTCTGGAGAGATGCTCGAATAGTCGGAGACGATTTCGGCGAGTTGCTCGCGGACCAAAAACTTCTGATCATCGACGCCTTCAAACTCCTTCTTCAGCCGATTATAATACAATGTGGAGTTCGACTTCTCCACGTCTTCTAAATTCAGATGAGGATTCTGAAGAGCCTTTAGCACGTCTCCTGAACTTCCGTGCTCCACGGCAATTCGGACTTCAACAAGAGCATTTGCATGAGCAATCACATCTCGAACTTGGTCTCCAGAAGACAATTGCTCGTCCTTAGATTTTCGAAGCAAATCGATATAGAGCGACGTGGCGAATTGACGGACGTCTTCAATTTGGAGAAGATCCAGAATATGGATGATTTGCGAGTTATCGACGTCTACAGATAAGAGAAGGGCTTCGAGTTGGTCCATGGCGGATTTTGCTGAAAAAAAACCAATTTTGTATCATTTTTGAAACTTCCGAGATGCTTGATTTAAAGCAAGTTACGAGTTGCCTGGTGCATCTACCCTCCAACTCCTTCTAAAGGTTCCCTCTAACCACGCAACGACACTCCGCTATCCCGCTCGGCGCGCGCACAACTTGAATTTAGTTTTGAGGGATTGCGAGCTTGGATTTGGCTCGTGGTTGTTCTAGGGACTCTTTTAAGGATTTCAAGTGAGTTTGCTTGAATTCTAAGCTTTTATTTGTTGTTTCTTTCTAACTTGTTCATAATAAACCGATTTTGTTGCATTTCTTGTTGATTTTCTTCTATTTTATCACAGGAACCTGATACCCCGGACATACCGCGGGCAATTTACGACCATTTTAGGGTATGTGGCCTAGAAACCCAAATTTGAAGAAAACTAGGTCACGATGAGGAAAACAAACCAAATTCAATCGATTAGACTTTTTTTCTCCAGCCTAGTACATTTATCAAAATTTCGAAATCTCAATTTTTAAGCGAGTTACGACCATTTCTAAACAGTGGCCTAGAATTTGCAAATCCTAGGCCACCATCTTCAAAGGCTCGTAACCTGCTTCAAAAGGGAAATTTTTCAGTTTTGAAAAATGATATGGGTTAAACAGAACAGTGAAAATAAAATAGGTTTATTCTTGGCCTAGTTTTCTCTGAATTTTTTTTCACTTCATTTCTCATGTTTTCCTAAGTTGCCGAAATTGATGACCTAGAAAACCAGAAACTTGAAAAACTAGGCCAAGCTTTATATTTATTTGTTTGTCATTTTTAGCTGAGTATAACGCACTTTTCAAAACTTGAAAATTCCAATTTTGAAGCAAGTTATGCCCCTTTGTAACCAGTGGCCTAGAATTTGTAAATCCTAGGCCACCATGATCAAAGGCTTGTAACTTGCTTCAAAATAAAGGTTTTTGAGTTTTGAAAAATGCAGCATATTTAAGAAAATTTGACAAACAAAATGAAATTAACTTTATTTTGGATTTCTAGGCCACCACTTCAAACCAGCGTAACTTGGCTCAAAATGCATATTTTTGAATTCTGAAAAATATCAAAAACTTGGGAAAAAACTCACTATTCGCAGAATTAATGACACTTTGCACATAAACTTTGGTAAATGGCTCCGCCCCCTCCTTTAATCCATCTAAGTACTGCTCTCCCATCGTCTCCTCAACATAGTCAATGGCGGCAGGAGCCGATTTCAGAATTTCCAGAACTTTTTTTGAATCCATCTCGTTTACAGCCTCTCGAAGGATTTCCATTGCTACTGCCTGAGCGGTCGCATCATTTTTTCGGTCTGATAACATATTTCCAATATCTCCGAACTCCGGAAGTTTCGAATCTTTCAGGTTTTCCTTGGCCGCGCCTAGTTCCGTGGCTGAAAATATATTTTTTGTTAGTTTTGGAACTCAGAATTTTTATAAGTTTCTTCTTTACATTTTTCTCAATCTATTGCATTTTTCAAAACTTAAAAATGTCAATTTCAAAGCGAGTTACATGCTTTTAAAGATGGTGGCCTAGGATTTGCAAATTCTAGGCCACGGGTTACAAATGGTTATAACTCAGTTGAAAATTGAGGTTTTTCAGTTTTGAAAAGCGTGATGAACTCAGAAAAACATCTAAAACAATTTCATTAAAAAAACGCAGCCTAGTTTCAGTCTTCTAGGCTACCGCTCGCCAAACTTGGTGGCCTAGAAAACCAACAATTGAAAAACTAGGCTACATTCTATAGCATCTTGTGTGTTTTGTTTTTCTGAATTTTTAACATTCTTAAACCCCAAAACATCAGTTTTGAAGCGAGTTACACGTCTTTGAAGATGGTGGCCTAGGGATTTGCAAATTCTAGGCCCACGGGGTTANCAATGGTTATAACTCGCTTCAAAATCGAGATTTTGAAATTTTGAAAAATGCAATAGACAGAGAAGGTAAAAGGAAATCGATTGATATTAACCTAGTTCTTTCAAGGTGGCCAGTTTTTTAGTTTTCTCCTAATTTGGTTTTCTAGGCCATCATCTCTAAAAACTTGTAACTCGCTTCAAAATTAAGATTTTGAAGTTTTGAAAGATGCAATATGTACATCTTCAGAGCGAAATTCTGACTCACTTGAAAATTTGGCTTTTCCCGCCAAATTTCTCATCGGTGGCGCTTTTCGTTGTCTGTGTAAGAGTGTAGCTAGTGCGAAGAGACAGAATACGGTTTTCATGTTTCGCCCTTCGAAGACGTCCGCGGTTTCTGGGATGAAAATCTGGAAAAAGGAGCATTTCGAAGCTACTTCGGTTATTTATGGCCTAGAAAACCAAAAATCTCGAAAATTCCGTCCATATTTTATATCAGTTTGTTTCACTTGTTTTACTGATTTTGAATCGATTTTCAGAACTGAAAAATATCGATTTTAAAGCGAGTTACGGTGATTTGTAGTCGGTGGCCTAGGAAATTCTAGGCCAGCAAACTCAATTGGTCATAACTCGCTTCAAGATCAACTTTTTTGAGTTCTGGCAATTGATGAAGATTCGGCAAAGCAAATTAAAAAAAAAAGATACTACTATGTGGCCTAACTTGTCCAATACTCAATTTTCTAGGCCACTGATTGCTCACCTCTGGCAATCTGACACTCTCCATTGCCCTTCTCCATTGCATAATGTTATCAGAATGTCTATAAACTGGAATCGACTCGTTCTGTTTATATTTTTCCTGATTGATATCGAAAATCCCTTTTTCTGGAACAATTTGAGGTGCAAATGAGTGTCCGAGACGAGCCAAAAGAACTCCATTCCGAAGATTTTCCTCCAATTCAGTGATCGAAGCGATTGAATCATCTTTTAGGCATTCGGATAGCCATCTGGAAACAGATTTTTTGGAATTTCGGAATATCGGAATTTCAGATTTTCCAGATTTTCAGACATTCAGAATCACAAAATTGAAATTTAAAAGTTTAAAAAAACAACTTTCCGGGCCGTCCACTTTGAGCCTATATATCTTAATTCTTTTGAAAGATATCAAAAAGTGGCCAACTGATAAAATGCTTATCGTGATATCAGCAACATTTTATTAGTTTAGCACTTTTTGATATCTTTCACAGAAAATGAGATACATGGGCTCAAATTTGACGATTCGGTACTTACGTTCGAACTTCTTCACATCGACACAAATACTCATAGGCAACGCGATTCAGACGTCGTTCATCGACGTCTTCAACGGCTTCAGATGTCGTTGGAGATGGCAGATTTTCAGATGGTGGTGGTGGTGGAAGAAAAGAACAAGATGATGACAGCCCATTTTGATGGATTATCTCCTCCTCTGGTCCTTCGTGCTGGTTTGTTTCCATAGTTTCTCTGGAGATTTCAAGATCTTGAAGAGAAGAAAGTTTATTATGTATTTTTTAAAAAATGAAAAGAAGGAAAAAGCGCGAATTTTGGTTTAAAAACCAGATTTCTAGGACGTCTGGGAGCCGAGATACAGCCGTTTGAAGTTTTGAAGAGACAGTGTAGGAAAGCAGGAGAGCGCAGACAGTTAGAGTGTTCTCGTTGTCTGTGTCTCTCCAAACTTCAAATGACTGTATCTCGGCTTGTAAATGAGCTAGAACTTTGAATTTTTATCTATTTTGTACAACTTTCGAAGTCCTACATTTTTCTTTTTTAATTTTTCAAAAATTTCTAAGTTTAGAAAAGCTATGGGACTTTTTAAAAAATCCTTCTTTAAATCTTGATTTGAGCTAAAAATAGTACACACGTTCTGGAATCTAGAATTTAGAGAATAAAAATAGAAGAGGAAGAACAAAAGGAGCACAATGGAGCACCACTTCCTCTTGAAGAAGAAGAAGAAGATGAATAAGAGGGAAGCGGCATTTCCTTTTAGTTTCAATTTCCAAAATGTGGTCCCCCTCTTCTCTTTTCATCCCCAAGCTAAGCTAAAGTACTTTAAAGTGCAACAAGTATTAGTCATCCAGAGTAGAGAGATGGAGAGAGAAGAGTAAAGAGACACAGATACTTAGACTCCCAAATTTTTTGGATTTTCAAGCATTTAAGATCACAAACTAGAAATCGAATTAGGCATTTTGAAAGAAGAGCCAACTTTCTAGCTCATTTTTGAGCTGAGATATAGCCATTTAAAGTTTTGGAGGCGAGAGACGCAGGCGACGAGAACACTCTAACTGTCTGCGTTTCTTCTGAAACTTCAGACAGCTATATCTCGGCTTCTAGATGAGCTAGAAAATTGAAACTTTGACTGTTCAGTGTGATTTTTGCCTTTTTTTCCAGATTTTAGCTTGCCTATATGTTTCGTGCCATAAAAATCCCAAAATTTTCATTTTTTTAAAATCATTTTTCAGTAATGCGAAATTTGCATCATAAACTACACAAAAAATTACACATATTGGTAAAAGAACCAGTTTTCTAGGACGTCTAGGAGCCGAGATATGGCTATTTAGAGTTTTGAAGAGACGCAGGCAGTTAGAGACAGTTAGAGACGCAGTGTGTCTCGTCGCCTGCGTCTCTAGCCTCGAAACTTCAAGTGGCTGTATCTCGGCTTCTAGACGTCCTAGAAAATTGATTTTCAGGTGGAAATTGTTTTTGAAAAATGGTCTATTTGGAATTCACAAAATTTTAAAAACAAATTTTTAAAAAAAAGCTTTTTTGAATTTTTTTTCAATTTTAAAATTTGATTTTTTTTTCTATTTTCGGTTCATTTATACGTTTTATTCAGCTTTTTTCAAAACAGAAAGTTAAGCAATATTAGAAAATGAGAGACGCAGACACAGTGAATTTGAGAGAGGAAACTTTAATGATACGGAAAAAGAGGTAATTTGGGAGATTTTAACATTTCAATTCTTTGAAAAAATGGGGAATTTTTCAATCACATGTTGATTTGTGTCCTTCAAAAACAATCACACCTTTTTTCTGGGACATTTTCCGATATTTTTTGTGTGTTTTAAATTCCTTTTTTGTTGGTTTGGTGTGATTCGTTTTGGCAGGTGTGAGAAAAGAAAAAAGTAGGGAGGAATTTTTGAATTTATACATTTTTGGTATTGTCGTTAGAATTTCAGATTTTTCAGAACTTTCAAAAATGTCAAAAAATCGAAAAAAATTAGAAATTCGAACTTTCTGGAATTTTAGAATTTCAAAGTTTTGGACTTTCAGAATTTCGAGAATCCAC